TGGCCAAAAAGTGCTAGAATCAAAGGCCAAAATAGCATGCAATGTAAGCTAGTAAGGAGGATTTGCACTACAAGCATGTGAGGCAATCAAGATGCCACTAAACCAGCAAAATTCAGAGGTATGACATGCCAAATAAAGCCCAAAAACTCACTGAAACATGGTTAATGCATGCAAGAATGACATGCTCCTTTGATAGGCTATGAAGAGGGTTATTCTACACATGCAAGATGGACACCCAATATGGCAAAACAAGCTCTAGACAGAGCCTATGCAGGTCCTAAAACTCACCAAAAATGGCCTGAAACATGGTCCAGAAGCATGCAAATAAGGGCTCCTTTGTAAGGCCAAAAATGCTAAAAAACAAAACAAGGAGAGAGAGGGTCACCCCTCTATGATTTTGGCACTCAAAATAGTATGTTAGCCACTGAAAATCCACTGGATTTCAATGGCTATAAGGCCAAACAAAGTCAATGCAAAGGCCCTAATGCATGGCTCAAAATAAGGCAAAATGAAGCATGCAAGGGGGTAGATGACCCCCAATAGAAAAATGATCTTAAACAAACATGTTAAGGGCCTCAAAATAAGACTTTTTTAAGTTTACACCAAAGCTCAAATATTCTTTCAAGTATTGCTAAAAGATGGAGCAAAATAAATCTTAAAAGAGAGAATTGGGTGTTACCCTTGTAGCTCAACAACTCCAGCAGCTTATGGACCAGAAATGCAGCTCCTTAGGACCTCTCAAGACGCTCCAAGAAGCTTAGGTTGGTGTTGGAGGGGTTAGTGTAGGAGATGGTGTGCAAAGGGCCAAGAACTTCACACTTTCTAAGCCTAGAGGGAGAGATATGGAGGGAGATATATTGTTTTGCCTTAGCAAATTTCTGAACCTCTCTAAAGGAGAGAAAGGCCCTCTCTTATAGACAAGGGAGGCTAAAGCTTCTCCAAGAAGCTTAAAACCTATGGCCAGTGTATGGAGGATGCAGTCTGTGCCTCCCAGCTGGCACAGCTGGAAGCAACTTACTGAGGCAGAAAAGGTGGGAGCTGGCTGACCAGTTCAGGTGGCCGGCCGACCACTTGCCCTAGTCAGCCGACCAGTTTAAAAGGGTCAAGTCAAAGAAAGGTGGTCGGCCAGCCCATTTGGTGGTCTCCCAGCTGAATGCAAGTTAGTGGTGTGGTGGGAGACCAGCAATTGTGGCCCAAAAATGAGGGAGACCAGTTACCTAACAAGGAAACCGGCTGGCGGGAGAAAGGTGGTCTCGAAGAAGAAAAGGTGGTCTCCCACCCTAGTACCACCTTCCAAACAATGAAAATAGGATCCATGCCAAAAATGAACCGAGACGGATGCAAAACGAGGGTTGGAGGGCCAAAACGCGTAGCCGGGTGCCCCGAAAACTGACTATTGAGCATCGAAAGTGGTGTACGACCACAAAGGTGGTATGCCGAGCCACAGTGTCCCGAACCGAGGCGCATGGCCGACGGCTCCGAAAATCGAAAACTGGTCTCCAAACGAGAAAAGTGGCCTACGACCACGAAAAGTAGCCTACGACCACTGAGAGATGGTCTACGAGACCTCTCTCTCCCTTTGGGAAAAGAAAACAGAACCTGGTTCGCAAACTGAGGCAAAGCACAAAAGAGTCCCGAAGTCCGGAGGCAAGGCTCTCAGCCGAGACTCTGAAACCTCAGAACGAGCACAATATGCGCGATCACCGAGCGCTCAATTGATGACGTCTGAGTCTTAAGGTCGGTCAAAAATGGGGTGTCTACACTAATGTTATATTTTTAATCATGCAAGATATTCGTGATACAGGAAATAAGACTCAACAATTCTTAATGTATAAAAATATATTACATATTAATATTTAAGCTTTTTTACATCAATATTATGCAAATAATATGTAAAGTTGGTTCAATGAATTTGTATTATGAAATGAAATATTGAACAGAATTGTGCAATTGTGCAATTAATTTCATACCTTCAATTATATTATATGTACGGATTATAGAAAGTTGACGTGAGAAGTTGATAGAAAAATATTTATATAATGCTACATATTTAAAGCACCTCTTTATTATTTATTATTTAAGATAAGATTGTGATCTCAATAATCTAACCATAAATTAATGTTTACATTTATCAAATTTCTCATTTATTATTTAAATTCTTTAACCAAGTATGTATTCATTTATTATTTACTTATATTTTAAATATTGATCAATTTATCTATATAATTTTTTTTTATTTTATATATATATATATATATATATCACATATTAATTTTAAAAAATATATATAATTATAATATTAATAGTCGATAAAAAAATTACATATCACGTGCAATGGACTTGTGCAACTACTAATATATATAAAAGTTCTAACTTATTTGTCATTTTATGTGCATTTTCCACTGCTCGCGCAAGCGATGATTTGGTACTCTTTTTTACTATCATAAACATATTGTAGACCTTTTTTTTTATTTTTTTATTTTTATCGGAAGACATATATCATTCAAGAAAGTCAAACGACACTTACAAGAGTCCATTCAAACCAAAAACTTACACCAAACAAAGCGAAAATAAAGCAAGAAGTACTAAGGAAGAGAGCTATGAAAATATTCAAACGTACATTTCGTACTCGTGCTCGTACTGCGAGGCAGAGCCGATCATAAAAGTTCGGCAATAGAGCATGCCTGAAATAAATCATAGATCCCAACCACAATGAGGGTAAGCTTAACAAATTCGCACAAATGGACTCGAAGAAACCAAACAAAGCCAGCAGCAGCTAGCAAACAAATAGGAAAAGACCAAGGAAATAACTTAAGACTAAAACCAAAACAACAAATCAGAAAATAAACCCACAACCAAACAAGACCAGCGGTGACGTCGATGAATCCGGCGATGGAGGCGGTGAAGGCAGCGTGGAAGAGGCGGGGAAGGCGTAAATCTGTGAAGGCGCGGATCCGTGAGTCCACTTCCGGAGTGAATTAATGGGAGAAAGAAACACCTCACAAAGGAGGGAGAGAGTGGAGAGCCGAAGCTTCCAAGTTATTGGAAAGCAAAGTGGGGAAAGGAAAGAGCAAAAGAGGGGTAGGGGGAGGGGAGAGGAGGCCGGAGGCCGCCGGAACCCCCTCCCCCACCGCCGGCGGCTAGAAGCTCTGAAAACCCCAGGGAAGAAAAGTTTAGAGAGAGAATCTCTCAAACTAGAGGAGTAAATTATAAATGCACTTTTGAAATTTGATTAAAATATAAATTACTTCTTATAGTGTTAAAAATTATATTTCATCCTTAAAATTTTTAATTTCATAACAAATCGTCTCTTTTATTAATAAATCATCGAGTCAATTAACAGTTTTTAATGATGTTAGAAATATGTTTCAATTAATAATTTAGGTAATTTTATTATTGTATATGAGAGTAATTATGAATTTCATTTTTTTAGCTAATTTTGTTAAACAAAAAATACTAACAAAGATGTATTTGTAATTTTCCAAATTACAAGGGGTAATCTATAGTTTAAGCAAATCTCAAGAGGTGTATTTGTAATTTATACTAAAACTTAGTAATGAAGTAAATTAATTAAATATTTATTGGAAAAAAAAGGTTAAAGAAATAAAAAAATTACCCATAAATTCTATATGGGAGAATATTAATCTATTTTATCCAAAGAGTTTTTTCTTATGAATCAATTAGCCTTTTTTTTGTTTTGAAAAGTTGTATTTATTTGTTTCGGTATTTTATGATTCATTTTCTAATTTTCTTATTTGTTTTGGGGACGAGAATAAAAAGGTGAGGTGTGAAAGATTTTTTTTGAAAGGATTTGTGGTTGAAGTGTTGGTTGTCAAGCGTTGAAATCTATATTTCTATTAGTATGAATTTCTGGTATTACATTGGAGTCACGACAAGAATTTTCACTTTTGATGACTAAATTTTTAGTCACCAAAAGTCAATTTTTAGTCGTCGAAAGGCTTTAGCGACTAAATTTTTTTGTCGCAGAATTATTAGCCGAAGAGTAGTTGGGAAAGCTAATTGGTGACTAAACTTATTTTAGTCGCCAAATATATTCATTTGCCAACTAAATATTTAGTCGTCAAAAGGTTGGGAAAAAAATTAAATAATACATTTTCGACGACCAATTTTTTTGTCGCCAAAAGCCTCAATTATTGTTGGCGACCAAAGATTTAGTCATCGAAAAAGTTTTTAGCTACTAAATATATTAGTCGCCTAAAATAAATACTAGTGTTTTGGCTACTAAAATTTTAGTAGCCTAAAGTCAAATTTTTTTTCGCCTAAAATAAATACTAGTGTTTTGGCTACTAAAATTTTAGTAGCCTAAAGTCAAATTTTTTTGGCTACTAAAATTTTAGTCTGCAAACAGTTTTTGTTTTCGCTACTAAAAATTTAGTCGCCTAAACTCCCACATTTTTTGCTACTAAAATTTTAGTCGGCAAATAGTTTTTGTTTTGGCTACTAAAAATTTAGTCGCCTAAACTTCCACATTTTTAGCTACTAAATTTTTAGTCGGCAAAAGTATTTTTATTCTTAAGCTTTTGTTTTTAGTTACGAAATATCTTAGTCGCCAAATGTTTGATTTTCTTTTGGTTACAAAACTTTTAGTTGCCCAATGTTTGATTTTCTTTTGGCTACAAAACGTTTAGTTACCAAATGTTTATTTTATTTTATTTTATTTTTTTGCTACAAAACTTTTAGTCACCAAAAACATGATATTATGTTTTATTGCAAATATTGTAATTTCTCTATAACTTGTCTGTATTCCATGCAACCTGTAATACGTATATAAATAAAATGATACATATACTATCAATCATTCCACAATTTGCATCAATATACAAAATATAGATAACTTTAACTGTCAAAGTATATACAAACCAACTATTGTCCAAACTAAAATAATAATTCCATACAAAATATAGAATCATACAAAAATCAAAGCCCTCCATATACAAAAGTTACATTTACTACCATGTGAAATGACCATTTGGCATGACAAAAGGTGATGTTTGTATGAAGACAAAAGTACGTCTATGTACCACGGCAAAAAATCATATATATGTACGGTGACAAAATGTGATCTATCTACCATGCCAGTAATTATCTGTTGGCTGCCAAAAGTTTTCTGTATCAGTCATAGTGAACTGCACAAAAGCCGATGACGACAAAAGTATTATATTAGTTCTATACAAAAGTGAAATTTCTTCACCATACACCAAAATATTACTCTGAAAGTCCACGCAACAAAGTCATCTACAAAAAAACAAAAAAAACATTAGAATTGGACCAAAAAATGCCTAACTTTATGAATGAATTTGGCAACAAGTGACAAATAACATATCAAAGAAGCAACCTTCCATGATGAATCAATTATCAGTCTTTCTAAAGTTTTTTGTTATAAGGAACATTGTTAAATGCAAAAAAATCATTACTAAATCTGTCATTACTAGCATAAAGCTAATGCAACATTCTTTTATTTGTATGCAACATGTATCCAAATTCTGTGGCTAAACCAATATCAAAGCCCAATGTGAATAGAAAGTATTCTTTTTACCAACTTCCTCATTAATTGTTTGCAAAAAGCACTTGAATCATTAGATTGGATATAAAACTATCTCTACTTATTAATGTCTATTAGTGCCATTTCATTCAGGATATTAGAACATGTGAGAAAAATAATAACAAAAGTAAAGTTCAATCACAAAAGGAAATATGTAGAAATGTATGTTGAGACACCTATAAATGGTTCATCAAAGAAAGAATACTTGATATCTCATGAAGCACATGGCCTCAGAAACATCATTCAGAGTTTGATACTTGTATGAAAGCTTAAATATAATATAACACACTTGTGTACGTTCAAGAAATTAATATAATATAACAAGGTGTAAAATGAGTTAATATTGGTTTCTGAATATTTTTCCTATAATTTTCCATTACTATACATCTCCAATAAATAATTGTATTCCAACCACAAAAAATCTCAGAACAGATGCTCAGAAAATCTTAAGTAACAATACTTGGATATAGTGTCATTCCAGTTTGAGAAATGACAATTAAAGTGGAAAAGGATAACAATCGTTGGATGATCTATCATGGCAACAACAATAACTAACAAAATGCAGAACCAATCATGTGTTGATCTATCATGGCAATAACAAATACTAACAAAATGCAGAACTCACATACCAAGCTCCTGCAAGTTCACATTCGGAGCAAGAAAAGAATTTTCTTTCATCTTATTTGTATGAATCTGAAGAACAATGTGCACTTCAACAAAACTCTTTTTCTTTTGGGGGCTGTTTTGAATTTTCGCCACTAAAACGCCATTTTTCGAGTAAGTTTGAGGTGTATTCAGCTCTAACTCCCAACCTACAGGTCCAGATTACATTCCGTCAGTTGTCACAAGTCCTATTTGTCATGGGAAAACTGTCCATGAGAGTCACACAGCCGTTCAAGGGCAGTTTTGAATTTTCGCCCACGAAACGCCATTTTTCGACAAAGTTTTGGGCGTATTCGGCTCTAACTCCCAACCAATGGATCCGAAATACATTCTGTCAGTTGTCACAAGTCCTATTTGTCATAGGGAAGCTGCCCATGAGAGTCATATGGTGGTTCAGGGGATGTTTTGAATTTTTTGCCCCCGAAACACCATTGTTCGAGTAAGTTTTGGGCGTATTCAGCTCTAACTCCCAACCTATAGGTCCAGATTACATTCCGTCAGTTTTCAGAAGTCCTATTTTTCATGGGGAAGCTTCCTGTGAGATTCAAACGGTGGTTCGCAGCCTGTTTTGAATTTTCGCCGCGAAAACGCCCTTTTTCGACTAAGTTTTGGGCGTATTTGGCTCTAACTCCCAACTTACGAGTCCGAATAACATTTCGTCAGTTGTTACAAGTCATATTTGTCATGGGGACACTGCCCGTGAGAGTCACATGGTGGTTCGGGAGTTGTTTTAAATTTTTGCCCCTGAAACGCCCTTTTTTGAGTAAGTTTTGGGCGTATTCGGCTCTAACTCCCAACCTACGGGTCCGAATAACATTTCGTCAGTTGTCACAAGTCATATTTGTCATGGGGAAGCTGCCCGTGAGAGTCACACGGTGGTTTAGAGGTGTTTTTGCATTTTCGCCCCCCAAAACGCCCTTTTTCGAGTCAGTTTTGGGCGTATTCGGCTCTAACTCCCAACCTACAAGTCCAGATTACATTCCATTAGTTGTCACTAGTCCTAGTTTTTCATGGGGAAGCTGCCCGTGAGAGTCACACGGTGGTTTGGGGGCTATTTTGAATTTTTGCCCCCGAAACGCCATTTTTCAAGTAAGTTTTGGGCGTATTCGGCTCTAACTCCTAACCTACGGGTCCAGATTACATTCTGTCAGTTGTCACAAGTCCTATTTGTCATAGGGAAGCTGCCCGTGAGAGTCACATGGTGGTTCGGGGGCTATTTTGAATTCTTGCCCCCGAAATGCCCTTTTTTGAGTAAGTTTTGGGCGTATGCGGCTCTAACTCCCAACCTACCGATCCGAATAACATTTCATCAGTTGTCACAAGTCCTATTTGTCATGGGGAAGCTGCCCATGAGAGTCACACGGTGGTTCGAGGGCTGTTTTTAATTTTTGCCCTCGAGACGCCCTTTTTCGAGTGAGTTTTGGGCGTATTCGGCTCTAACTCCCAACCTACGAGTCCAGATTACATTCCGTCAGTTGCCACAAGTCATATTTGTCATGGGGAAGCTTCCTGTGAGAGTCACATGCTGGTTCGGGGGCTATTTTGAATTTTCGCCCCCAAAACGCCCTTTTTTGAGTAAATTTTGGACGTATTTGGCTCTAACTTCCAACCTACGGGTCCAGATTACATTCTGTCAGTTGTCAGAAGTCCTATTTGTCATAGGGAAGCTACCTGTGAGAGTCAAATGATGGTTCGTGGGTTATTTTGAATTTTCACCCCTGAAACGCCCTTTTCCGAGTAAGTTTTTGGCATATTCAGCTCTAACTCCCAACCTACGGGTCTGAATTACTTTTCGTCAATTGCCACAAGTCTTATTTGTCATGGGAAGCTACCCGTGAGAGTCACGAGGTGATTCAGGGGCTGTTTTGAATTTTCGCCCCCGAAATGCCCTTTTTAGACTAAGTTTAGGGCGTATTCGGCTCTAACTCCCAACCTACAGGTCTGGATTACATTTCGTCAGTTGTCAGAAGTCCTATTTTCATGGAAAAATTGTTCGTGAGAGCCCCATGATGGTTCGGGGGCATTTTTGAACTTTTGCCCTTGAAACACCCTTTTTCAACTTAGTTTAGGGTGTATTCGTCTTGTTATCAAAATAATTGTGGAGATATGGCAATAAGGACAAGGCCTTATGGAAAAAGTTGTCTGCTCTAAATATGAATCTATTGGTGGGAGATGGATGCCATTCTTGGAAGATATTAGCAGAGTTTCAAGAGTATGGGGTGACATTCTTTCGGTTGCTAGTAGTAAAGTGCACAAAGAGCTGGTGAGGCAGAAACAAATATATCCACTGCCCATGTCAAACTAATTTTATTATTCATGAGGCACTGAGGAACACATTAAGCATAACATAATAATTAAGCACTCAAGTAATCTTCTCCAAGTAGTTGGGATTTCTGCTTTTGTCTATTTATGAAAATGAAAATGAATTTTAATAAACAAAATTAGACCAATGTTATTGCACATCAAAATTAGAAGTAGAGTCTACTCATTAGAAGCATACCTCATATCCTATCCAAGCAACGGAAGCAATCATTGTTCCTGCTAATGCATTTGAGAACTTTCTGTAAATATCCAACTTGACACAACTCCTCTTTGCTTGGATAGAGAGAAAAATATCATTATACAAACTCTGAGAATGAAAATAGTAAAGTTGCTCTAATGGAAAAATAATTTAATGTTGCAACTAATCAGTTTCCCAAATTCTACCTATCCCCATGAAAATGGTACTAAAGGAGCCGTCTTGATGATGTTAACAAAGCTTTATTTTGTCTTGTGATTCCTTTTGCAAATATAGTGTGATGGTTAACATCTATATTTAGCAGGTCACTATTTCAACTAGAGAAGTTTAAAATTTTTAAAATTTTACACTTAATAATGGGGAACTTGAAGGCATTGGATGAAGACATATTTGTAAGATCCTGAAAATGAACAAGGGAAAGTACCAAAGCAGCGCATATAATGCTAGTCATATCCAATAATCAATGGGAGCCAAATCAAATGATGTAGAAAATATATAGATGTCAATACAACTTTTTAAAGAAAAAATGTAGTCTCAAAACTTGATATATTGTTTTTATATGTTATAGATGTCGATACAGCTTTTTCAGTTTGAGGCGTTTTTGGCTCTTACTCCCAACCTACAAGTGCAAATTACATTCCGTCTATTGTCACAGGCCTTATTTGTGATGGAGAAGTTGTTCGTGACAGCAACACAGTGGTTCGGTGGCTGTTTCATAGTTTTGCCCCTTTAACACCCTTTTTTAGTTAAGTCTGAGGTGTTTTTGGTTCTAACTCCCAACTTACAAGTTCAAATTACATTCCGTCTATTGCTACAAGTCCTATTTGTGATGGAGAAACTGTTCGTGACAACCACACAGTGGTTTGGGGGCAGTTTCATAGTTTTGCTCACTTAACGCCCTTTTTCAGTTAAGTTTGAGGCGTTTTTGACTCTAACTCCCAACCTACAAATTCAAATTACATTTTGTCTATTGTCATAGGTCCGATTTGTGATGGGAAAGCTATTTGTGATAGCCATACGGTGGTTCGGAGGCTGTTTCGTAGTTTCGCCCCCTTAACGCCCTTTTTTCGGTTAAGTTTAAGGTGTTTTGGGCTCTAACTCCCAACCTACAAGTGCAAATTACATTTCGTCTATTGTCACAGGTCCTATTTGTGATAGGGAAGCTATTTGTGATAGCCACATGGTGGTTCGGGGGCAGTTTCATAGTTTCGCTCCCTTAACGCCCTTTTTCGATTAAGTTTGAGGCATTTTTGGCTCTAACTCCCAACCTACAAATGAAAATTACATTCTGTCTCTTGTCACAGGTCCGATTTGTGAGGGGAAAGCTGTTCGTGATAGCCACATGGTGGTTTGGGGGCTATTTCGTAGTTTCGCCCCCTTAAACCCCTTTTTTGGTTAAGTTTGAGGTGTTTTGGGCTCTAACTCCCAACCTACAAGTGAAAATTACATTCCGTCTATTGTCACAGGTCCTATTTGTGATGGGGAAGCTGTTTGTGACAGTCACATGGTGGTTCGGGGGCCGTTTCATAGTTTCGCTCTCTTAACGCCCTTTTTCAGTTAAATTTGAGGCGTTTTTTGCTCTAACTCCCAACCTACAAATGCAAATTGCATTCCGTCTGTTGTCACAGGTCTAATTTGTGATGGGAAAGCTGTTTGTGAGAGCCACATGGTGGTTCGGGGGCTGTTTCATACTTTCGCCCCCTTAACGCCTTTTTTCAGTTAAGTTTGAGGCGTTTTGGCCTCTAGCTCCCAACCTAGAAGTGCAAATTACATTTCGTCTATTGTCACAGGTCCTATTGGTGATAGGGAAACTATTCGTGATAGCCATACAGTGGTTCGGGGGCTGTTTCGTAGTTTTGCCCCCTTAATGCCCTTTTTCGGTTAAGTTTGAGGTGTTTTTGGCTCTAACTCCCAACCTACAAGTGCCAATTACATTCCGTCTATTGTCACAGGTCCTATTTGTGATGGGGAAGCTGTTCGTGATAGCCACATAGTGGTTCGGGGGCTGTTTCATAGTTTCGCCCCCTTAGCGTCCTTTTTCGGTTAAGTTTGAAGTGTTTTTAGCTCTAACTCCCAACCTACAAGTGCTTTCCAGACATTTTCAGATAGCTTAGGTCTGGTTTGGCAGCTTCGCATTGAGCCCATCCTTCTAAAACTTGCCGTCAAATTTGGCCAGAGTTGTTCTTCTTGAGGCCAACTGTTGATTTTTCCATGACTGGAGCAAATCAGTAACGTTCTCATAGATATAATTGGTTACTGATTTACGCATATAACCACATATCTGAACGAAGCTCATGCTTTAAAATTTATTCAATGAACCATTAAAGGTCATGTTGATGAGCAAAAGTGAAAGACTATTATGAATAGATGATGTGAAAGAAATCAGTCAAGTAGACAGTTTGGGCACATATGATCACAGTGCTCGATTGTTTTATCAAATCCACATAGGCAATTTAACAAGGATGCCACAATTACCAGTAGTAGACAAATTTGAATTTCTTCAAATTCAAGTCACAAAAATATTAGGAATACAAATAAAAAATTTTAAAGCAACAGAGCATATACCCATAACAAAGCTAAGAAGGTAAGGCACTGTGATTCATTGGGCATAGCCTCCAGGAGAGGGAACAAAGGTAGGAGCTGTGACCTGCCAAATGAACTTGCTAAAACAAATAATTGTGTACATTAGTTACTAGAAGTAATTTGGCCAACCAGAAGGGCAACCATAAATGTCCTCTAAAAATGACAATGAAATGCTTAAATTCTCTATCTGAAAGCTGACCTGGATTGGCTAATATTACTACCAGGTTAATGGTTGGATTACAAGCTACGACAGCAAGTGCTAGGCATCTCCCAAAGGAATCGCCCACCAGATAAATTGGCTTATTTGGAAATGAAGCATGTTCGAGCCTCACAATTTCTTCCACAAATTTCACCAAGTCTACACGCAATAAAATGTAAATTTTAATTAATTTGAAGAGGATTTGAAAAAATTGTGGACAAAGGCATACAAGATACACAAACAAACTCACTATACAAGAAAATAATAATAATAGTAATAAAAGAACAAAATTAACTCCCAACATTATTTAAATATATCAGCAGCACAAATGAACTATCATAAGCAGCACTGCAACACAAAGAAATACTTATAAAGATATTTACAAGTTACAGAAGTTTAAGACATTCAAATGGTGTTCGGTCATAAACAAGAATATACAGGCACCAAACTTCAAAAGCTTTGTATTCAAAGCAATCCCATATTAGAATTTGGGTTAAAAATAATCAAAAAGTACCAAACTATACATGAATTCCCATCATCATAGTATTACTCAAACAGAACAATGCAATTGTAAGACAAGAAATTTCTTTGACCAGCATATATGCAGATTCTATCACAATGGACCCAAGAAAAATGAAACAGAATAAATTAAGAACTTCTATTGCAATACAAGCATAGTTTCGCCCCCTTAACGCCCTTTTATCTTGATTTTTTATTGTTGATACTAACTACTTTACCAAGATCTAGATTGCACCAATTGAGATCATGGAAGTCAAAAAAATTCAGGTCTCTATTGTTTCTTCCCCGCCCACACCCTATTTTGTATTTATTCCGCTTCTTACTCTTCTTTCCTCCTTGTTAAACCATAGTTATCAGCCATTATTCTCACAGATCCTAAAGACATCTAGAGTAACTTATTTTCCTGGCCATTACATTTCTAACTAGTACAAATTCATTTACCAAACTCATTGAAAAAGAGACATCACAATATTTTAAAAGCACTAAATTATATCATGCTTTAGCTCAAGACACTCCCTTAGGTAGACTTTAGATATTTTTTTCTTGAAAAAAAAAAATGGAGAGATGGAGACAGAGAAGGGAAGGCAAAGAATTAGAAAACTCCAGTGCTCAAAGAAAAAATGTCCATACCTTCCAATAACAGATTTGGCATTTGAAATATAAGCAAGGGTCACTTTCAATGATCAGAGACACTAAGAAATAAAGGTAGTTCACATCCTATACCAAAATACACAAAAGGGAAAATTCAGTCCCTGTGAAGATCCATAATTACTCCCCCATCACATGATGTTCAATTTAGTTTATCTCACCAAATTAAATTGTCAACATTAACGACAATATAGATGGCAGTCATCGTCAACCCACAAGAAAGGAATACAAAATTCATAGGAATATCATTTAGTACCCCAAAAAAAATTATAATTACAGTATTTTGAATGCTAGGCTATGGGTATGACAATGTGAGAGTGAAAGATTGTGGTCAAAGACTAGTGATCTTGGAAAGATAAAATCTGAAGCTCTGTTTTTCCATAACAATGGTATATAACCCTAAATTATTTCGTCAAACATCTTGTGAGCAATACATAACTGATCAACAAAATGAAAAATATGGGGATCCAATCATTTGGGCATAAAACAGAGCAGCTTCCAAAACCTAAAGATTGTGAGAAAAGTTGAAGCTATGAAACTGAAATAAACTATATATAAATAGGAGACACAGCACATCCAAGGGAGATTGAAACTCTTGCATTGCAACCCATTACTTGCAATGTCCAAGGGAAAAAAAAGGGAGGGGGGGAAACCGCAACAAAAAAAAAAAAATCAGAAAAGGGGGAAACAGAGGAACAGTCTAAATGAACACGAAATTAAACCCTAAGGCCATGTTTGTTTGGGCGGACTGGATTAGCATTCCATGACTAATAGTCCTAGAACTATGAATCCGTTGGATTATGTATTCTATCTTAACTAATAATCAAGTTTAAAATAATTAGTCCCTACTTCAATTGTTTAACCAAACATCGGATTAATAATTTTATTGGACTATTAGTCCAATCCCAAGCTCATGTCCACCCAAACAAACATGGCCTAAATGAACAATCAGAAAAAGGGGAGACAAAGGATTGGAGAGAGCGAGAGAGAGAGATAGACAGAGAGAGACTATGAGCAAGAGAGAGAGACACACACTGACAGACCGAGAGCGAGAGAGAGCGAGAGAGAGAACATGTGATCTGCGACTGTGGCAGTGGTGATTTCCGACTGTGAGTGGCCGTGCCGATGTCCTCTGTACAGTGGGCTGCGGTGAAGTGATTTCGTGTGAGGTTTGGTGGTGAGATAGTCTAGGCGGGAGAGAGTTTGAATATCATTTCGTCTAACAGAGGAAGTGCGGGCAACAATTGTTTCCCTCACAAAACTCATATCATTTAGCGACTAAAATCAATTTTTTGTCGGCAAATGTATTAAAATTTATTTTTTTAATATTCTTTGTATTTGTTGAATTTTTTCAAAAAACAATTTCATAGATATTATATTTTTTAAGCATATTTGGATAAAGTGTATCTAAAAAATAAATATTTACAAAATTCACTAAAAAACAAAAAATATATATAAAAAAAATCGATTTGTAGTACAGCAACAAAAATCTTTAAAAAATTATTGAATACAATAAAATACGAAAATTTATTAAAATGTATTAAAAGAGGGCATCAAGATGATAAAGAGTTTTTTTTTTTTTTTTGAGTAAGATAAGAGTTGTTAAAAAAATAAAATTAAATAAATAAATAAATTATTTATAAGATAAGGGAAAATATCTATATATACAATAATGCCATACGTAAATTATAAAAGTGTACAAATAAACTCCTTAATTATAAAAATGTATCAATTGAACACCCTAATAGAAGGGGTCAAAGTGAAACATATTAATAGTTTAGGGGATTTATTTATATATTTTTATAGTTTAGGGGCAAAGTAATACTTGTCAATAATTTAAGAGGTCTATTTATATGTTTGTATAGTTTAAGGAATCAAAATAATATATTTTTTTTTATAGTTTAAGAGATCTGTATGTAAATAATTAAAAAAAAAAAATTAAAATATTATTGCACATATATATATATATATATGTATAAAATTTTAAAAAATTTATGTGTTTGGTTTTGTATTTGGTTATCATTACTGTTATTTTTTTGTACCTCATATTTTAGTTAAAAAGTTACTAAAAAAATCATTTTCCAAATGGGCCTTATATAAGCATGACTCTTCTAAAGGTTTAATCCTAAGGAGAGACCATAAGTTCAATTCTCTGTAAAAGGAGTTGAATTAGGAGAAAAGCACAAGAATGAGGAGATGACCTCTTATAAATGTCAATCAACCTAATAAAATTAGCTTACGATAGAAACTCCTATATAAAATAAAACAAGTGGAACAAAATAAAGAACAAATTATACTGACCTTTTTGAGATTAAAAAAAAAATCTACTAATTTAACATAATTATGTTGAGGGCTTTTTTTAATAAGTTAAACCAAATGAAATTAATGCAAAAATTAGAGTGAATAAGAAGGAATCTTTAACTTTTCTTTTATATGAGTTGAAATTTTTTTAAGTTTTTGACTTTTTGAAAAATAACCCGTTGTCAAGCGGATTCTAACTTCTAGGTATATTTTTTAAAACAAATTATTTATTTTTAAATAAATAAATATAATAAGAATAAAATCAACTATTTAAACCACTGGAATAAGATTTGTGATGAGCTCTGTAGACTCAGTTGCATGTTCAGTCCACATGAAAATGGATTCCACAGAAGCTTGTTTCATGTGAATATAATTGATTTTTTTAATAAGAAATATAAAAATTAAAAATAAAAAGTTCCTTTTAACCTTTATCCCATAAATTATTATTATTATTTTTTCACCCTTAAGTTATCACTTTCATTTATTTATTATTAAAAACCCTTAAATTATTATTGTTTATCCCATAATAAGTTATCGGTGCTTCAACTAAAAAAATCCGAACCCCAATTTGCAAAATCTCTTAAATCATTAAATCTTACCCAGCTAAAATATAAATATAGAAAACAAATCTTAACTCAGATATGCAAAATCCAGTAAATGATTATATATTAGGCAGTTGCTATCAATAGAAAGAAAAAAAAAAAATTCTAGCCCAGATTTGAAAAATCTAGTAAACGATTGAATATTGCAATCAGTAGCCCAGGACTTGTGAAATGGCCATGTCACCTCCACCTCCACCTTCAAAAAGAACCAAATAGTTTATAAAATCAATATTTTAGATTTATTGGTGCTTCAACTAAAAAAATCCGAACCCAAATTTGCGAAATCTCTTAAATCATTAAATATTACCCAGCTAAAAAATATATATAGAAAAAAAATCTTAACTGAGATATGCAAAATCCAGTAAATGATTATATATTAGGCAGTTGCTATCAATAGAAAGAAAAAAAAAAAATTCTAGCCCAGATTTGAAAAATCTAGTAAACGATTGAATATTGCAATCGGTAGCCCAGGACTTGTGAAATGGCCATGTCACCTCCACCTCCACCTTCAAAAAGAATCAAATAGTTCATGAAATCAACATTTTAGATTTATTGATGCTTCAACTAAAAAAATCCGAACCCAAATTTGCGAAATCTCTTAAATCATTAAATATTACCCAGCTAAAAAATATATATAGAAAAAAAATCTTAACAGAAATATGCAAAATCCAGTAAATGATTATATATTAGGCAGTTGCTATCAATAGAAAGAAAAAAAAAAATCTTGCCCAGATTTGAAAAATCTTAGTAAACCATTAAATATTGCCACCTCCACCTCCACCTCCACCTCCAAAAAGAACCAAATAGTTTATAAAATCAATATTTTAGATTTATTGGTGCTTCAACTAAAAAAATCCGAACCAAAATTTACGAAATCTCTTAAATCATTAAATATTACCCAGCTAAAAAATATATATAGAAAAAAAATCTTAACTGAGATATGCAAAATCCAGTAAATGATTATATATTAGGCAGTTGCTATCAATAGAAAGAAAAAAAAAAATCTTGCCCAGATTTGAAAAATCTTAGTAAACCATTAAATATTGCCACCTCCACCTCCACCTCCACCTCCAAAAAGAATCAAATAGTTTATAAAATAAATATTTGAGTATTTTAAAAAGATGATAAAAAGTTAACTTTTAGCATTTTATCAAGTTTTTTGACTTTTTTAGAAAGTAATTTGGGAATTTTAGTAAAAAGTTATTTTTGACTTTTTTTTATTAATATTTATTTATGATGTCACGTCATACTAAAATAACTAAATTAACCCACCCAATTTAAAAAATTTATATTTTCATCCCTGTATAACCCTAACCAACATAAAAAATATAATTGTAATTTTCATGTAACTTTTTTTCACCTTAGCAAATAACTTCTGGCTAAAAAAGCCAATGTAATTACTTTTTTTCCCCCAAGCTCCAAACGCAGCGTTTTACCAATATTGCCAAATAACCACACAGAAAACAAATCTTAACTCAGATATGCAAAATCCAGTAAATGATTATATATTAGGCAGTTGCTATCAATAGAAAAAAATAATAATAATAATAATAAATAAATAAATAAATATATTTCTGGCCCAGATTTGATAGTAAACCATTGAATATTGCAATCAGTAGCCCAGTACTCGTGAAATGGCCATGTCACCTCCACCTCCGCCTCCACCTGCCCCCTTACAACCATATTCAAAAGTTTGTGTGAATTCTTCATAATAACAATTAAATTATGAGAGTTATATTTAAGCATCAAATGGCCATGTCACCTCTACCTCCACCTGCCCCTTTGCAATCATATTCAAAAGTTTGTGTGAGTTCTTCAAGATAACAATTAAATTATGAAATTATATCCATATTGACTTAAATAAATTATAATTAAGCATCAACTTTTACAAAAGGGATTTTTTATTTATTTATTTTTTGACGTGTGTGTGTAATTTGTGAAAGAGATGTGAGTTTTGAATTTGGATTTCATGGACTAATACAATGTGTAGAAAAAGATATTCTTACATCAAGATGATCCCTATATGTTTATAGTTAATAGTCTAAGATGTGGAGAGCTCACAACCTGTCCTCCTCCATGTCTATTTTAGGTTGCCTTTTTGTACAATCCAAATGCTTAAATCTAATAATTTTTGAAAAAAAAAAAAAAAAAGGGTGGCTTGAACATTGCGTAACTGGAATCTGGTCAATTAAGGGCGACTAAGAGTTCATCAACCTTGCTAAGAAGCGAAAAAAATTTGATTTTTGTCACCTATATGTGTATTGGATTTATATATGTGTATATATTTGTTTCACGTTTTTTATTTGTCTATTGGATTTATACAGTTTGTTGTATGTGTTGTGATTATTTTTTCCGAATTTCTTTGAAAATTAAATATTCAATTTTGATATAAATTCTAGTGATATTTGTAATTTATATTCTATCAATTGATAAAAATACAAAGCACAAAAAATATCATTTGCATGATATCACATAAATTAAAATATACACACATTGAAATTAATATTTTTTGAAAGAACGACATTGCCATAAAATACATGTAAAAAATATATTGCCAAAATATAGATATCCACATGCATGTACTTAGGGTCAACCCTGAATTCTATAGGACCCTAGGCAAAATTTCAAGAGGAGCCCTTATACATATTTATCAAACAAAAATTTGAGTAATTTAATAAATATAAAAAATGCATGCTTGTGTTTGGGCCTTTTTTTAGTGGGGCATTTTGTTTTGGAGGCCTCTAATAATAATTGAGTCTTTTTTAAAACCTAATGGTATAAAGGATTTTCAAAATTTGGAGCCTTATTTTGGGCCAAAATTTGGGGGCCTTAGGTGCAGGCCTTACTGGCCTTAGCCCGGGGCCGGCCCTACATGTACTAGTTATTGGCTGTAGCATGCATAAGATAAAAGGGGAACTAACCCAAAGGTTCAAGCCCAACATAATATGCCCCATTTAGCTCCAAAACAAATTCAATATTCCATGAAGTCCTCAAAATTATCAATTTGACGAAAATACCCACACATATCATTGTGGACGCGCCCTCGGGCCCTCGATGCCACAGTTCGGACTCGTTTTGTTGTCGGTTCTTAATCTGATCTCACAATGTGCAATGTGAGACTGATAAATCACAAAAGAGTTCAAATCTGGCAAATCGTTTTGGAAAACAGATTTTTGAGAAAGAAGTGCCAAACATAGACTGCTTTGCCAGATACAGAGTCGCCACCTAAATATTTTTTATGGGGGAATTTAGAAAACCCTGACTCGTTTGCCTAAGGCCACGTATCCGTCATCACCAAAGTTGCCTCGGCTCGGGAACTTGGGTACGATTGGGGAAGGTCAG